CACTATGTGCCTTTACCCAGTCTGTCCTGCGTTTCTCTAATGATTTTAATTGAAAGACTGATCAGCAGCGTGAAGTGATATAATGTGTATCTACCCCCTTCTATCCGTTATAATTACCTATCACATTATATTACAAAACAAACATTGTAAATTATGACAATGACTTATTCTCTTAAATGTACATACATTCATTAAGTGAGAGTTGGACTTCTTTTTGATAATTGTTACAATATAGAATGAGCTTGTGAGACATATATTCAGATTTTTTTAATGTATCTGAGACTTGCATGTATTCTGATTTCTTTTATTTTTCTTTAATTTTTTCTTTCACTAAATTGAAATAAAATATAAACAGTGTTCTAATAAAATGTGAACATATTATTTCTACTTGTAACATCTTTTTAGCCTTGAAATCTTCAGAGAATTTTTGATACGATTAACCGATTAATCGGTTGGAACGACTTGCAGTTAACCTAGTGATGGGGAATCGGAAAAAAATCAGAATCGATTATCGGTAATAATCGGCTGGGCATAATCGATTAATAATCGATTATAATCGAAATTTTGAACTTTAATGAAATTAATCTGTTAATATAGAAATGTTAAAACTTATTCAGATTTCTGTCAGACTTTTACACAAAAATCATTTACTAACATAAAATATTCAAAAATGTTAATTGAAATTTCTTTTTTAAATGTGGAAAATGATATTTTGTTCATTTTAAACAATGTCGCCATTTTCACAGTATTTGTGATAATTCAAGCATACAAGTGTTATAAGACCTTAAAACAATGCAAAGGAAATCATCAGGGTAAACTTAATGTTTAATAAGCAGTTTTTGTGGAGTTCTTATGATAAAAATGATATATGACATGCCTATGTAAGAAATTTTGGAAAAAAATTCCATAAATTAGGGTAAATTTCCCTCTTTTTTTGTGTTATGCTGTTGCACTCAAAAAAAGTACATATTTGTTTAAATTATCAATAAAGCTTACAATATCAATTCATTATGTTATGGTTGTGAGGTAATAATGTAGACATTCATTTTTCATATGTTTTTTATTTGATGGAAATTGGTCGAGAAATGTACAAATGGGACATAATTAGGTAAACATATGTCTTTGTTATGCATTTTGTATTTTTTACTAGTTGATATATCTAAGTCACTGTGGATTTTAAAAAAATGTATGTTTCTACACTGTTTTGTTATTAAATAATCAATAAAGTGATATACTTGAAGAAAAATTTTGAATGAAACTTATTTGAACGCATATTAATGATTTTGTATCATTTTTATTTCAGGCTTGAAGAGGGGAAAAAATCATGTAGTGTCCGTTACGCCCTCATTTCTCAGAGTGTATCCATGCAATCACTGCATGATCAAGGGAATAGAAAGACACTATACCTGGCTCAATAATCACAAAATATCTCATTTATAATACAACACATTTGTAGGAATTTCCCATAGACGCTGGGTTTTGTAGTGTCCGTTACACCGTAGTGTCCGTTACATGTTTATTTAAATCCTATTCATTATGCTTAAAACAATACTTATCAGCCTTATTCTGTTTTCTAATCTTAAATACTAAAAGAGTAGTAGAATTTGATTACAATAAGTAAACTTTTATATAATAGACTATTTAAACGGTTCACATAACAAGTAATGGTTACGTCAAACTAAAATTTTAATTTTATCATCAGATATACATGAAATATTAAAAAAATAATGAATTTTATTCAAACAAATCAGTTTAAACTCTTTTGGCCCTATTTCACTGTGATTTGAAGTATCACAAACATTTTATTGCTATCTTCAATGTAACGGACACTACATAAATTTAACCGCTTGAATAACATTAATATTTAGTATTTTTCAGACCCACTTAACTGATTAAACAATAATGGTGAGTGCAAAAGAAAGAATGAAAAAGTATAGAGAGAGGATGAAGAATGACCCAGAGAAAGATCATGAGATAAAATTGAAGGACAAAATGAGAAAAAGACATGAAAGAGAGAAACGTAAACTAAAATACAAAATGCATAACAAAGACATATGTTTACCTAATTATGTCCCATTTGTACATTTCTCGACCAATTTCCATCAAATAAAAAACATATGAAAAATGAATGTCTACATTATTACCTCACAACCATAACATAATGAATTGATATTGTAAGCTTTATTGATAATTTAAACAAATATGTACTTTTTTTGAGTGCAACAGCATAACACAAAAAAGAGGGAAATGTACCCTAATTTATGGTATTTTTTTCCAAAATTTCTTGCATAGGCATGTCATATATCATTTTTATCATAAGAAATCCACAAAAACTGCTAATTAAACATTAAGTTTACCCTGATGATGTCTTTTGCATTGTTTTAAGGTCTTATAACACTTGTATGCTTGAATTATCACAAATACTGTGAAAATGGCGTGTGCAATTATACTCTGAAGATACATTTTATTACAATGATTGGATTTTTAAGTTAAAAACTTGCTGAAGATTCCCAACTTATGAGAAATAGCAATTATGTAGACTTTGTAGTGTCCGTTACAATATCAAACATTATATGAAAAATTAAAGAATCCATTTATATCAAGCTCAAATATAGTAAGAAATTAACAATGCCTCACAAATGATATTATTAAAAGTAGAATAAAGTGTGACAGTGTCTGTTAAAATATATTTTCTTGTGTTTATATGTTCAAACCACATGTGTGTAGAAAAATTCCTTATCATGTGGCAAATATTAATAAAAACTTTAAAGGTTCAATCTTTCCCTATGATTTATTATCATTGAGTTACCTAATAATGCTTTTGTTTGCATATTCTAGCTTTATTTAGAGCCACACAAAAGAAATTCTGTCCTGAAATTAAATTTTCAAGATTAGCTGTAGTGTCCGTTACATAATGTAACTTATTTTATTCTGTTAATAAGAAAGATTATGAGATGAAATATACTCTGATCTTAATATGCACACAAGGAGAACATAAAATGACATTATATGACTATTTAAGTGAAACTAAAACATCTCATCATTAATATAACAAAAAAAAATAAATAAAAAGTGAGACTTTTTGTTATACTCCGAAGTTGGTATATATTTTTTGAAAATCTTTTCTAAAGTTAGTTTTTCCATGAAATGTGTTAAAAAATGAATGTAAAATCATGTATGACATAGGTTTATTTATTCATTCTATAGTTTATAATATCTTCTTTAAATTTATTCTGTAGTGTCCGTTACACTAAAGTAGCATAATTTGAATCATGAAAAAATAAAAGATCACCTTTGAATGGATAGGTATAGTAACTGAGTCTTGTTTTCAATATATCAGCATATACTGTGAAGGTAATTACTAGGATCTACTTCAAATATTCTAAGAGATATGCAGAACAGAAGTTGCACGTCAAAATTTTGCAATTAAAAGTATAAACTTGGTTTTTTACCCTAAAATTAAGTTCAACCCTTAAGAAAAAGATTTTACCTTCCTAGAGTGGAAAAATGCATATACTCAAGAAATACAAGTAGTAATCTTAGTTCTACAATCATTTTATATTAACTAAAAGGATATAACATGGTGGATTGTAGTGTCCGTTACACATGCAAATGCACAAACTTAAAAGTGTGATATCTCTGAAACTAAAAACGAATACTTAATGATTTTTTGGATTAATTTGCCTCAGATATAATACTTTCAGAAGATATAAAGAAAAATTACATAAAATCAAGTTGAATTTTTGCTCTCAGTGCAACACATTGAACACAAATACTGTGAAAATGGCGTGTAGGACTATTGAAACAGAAATGGAATTTATTTTTTTTTTATAAAGTACATGCAATGGGTATTTTACCGATATTAGTCCCAACTTTTATTTAATACATGTATTTATTTCTTAAATTTAGTTTTAATTAGTTAAAATTGCAAGTTTTAAAAGTAGTTATCCAGAAGTAAGACTTGTATTTCTGATTACAATTACGTTTAAAGATTGACTAGACTAATTATGTTTTCCTTTGTATAGTAAAACCTTGCAATATCACCGTTTTTTGGTTTTAGTCTAACCCCATATTTAATCATGGCGGTAAAAGTATCAACAAGACACGGAATCCTTCCATGTTTTCAACATTTATCACTACTTTTATGCTCTTTGCACTTGGATTTGGTAATAAAATTAAAGTATGACAATTTAATTTTTTGTTAGCGATGTCGGCGACATTTATTTTATAATCGATTAGTAGCATCGAAGAGCTTCTAACGACCGACAATCGATTGTCGGCGACAATCGTTCCATCACTAAGTTAACCAATTGGCAATTTTGTATTCGATTGCCATCCCTATTTAAAAGTAAATCAAATTTCACTGATCTGATAAGTGGTTGAAGTTCCTAATTCAGCATAAAATTTTAATCAAACAGAACCCTTGATTATAACTCACCAGTCATCATGTAATCAAATGTAAGTTCTTCTCCTTTTTCTATGTCCCTCTTGGAGAACAAAGCAATGCGAGGTAGGCGGGGGTCTAGAGTATTTATCCACACAGCAAACACTTCCAAGTTTGGGTCACACTGCAGATATATAAAAACAAAGGTTATCAGAGAATATGAGCTCTCAACAAGTGTCTTATAGTTAAGCAAAGTCCTACACTCATACTCTAGTAGTGAGCAACCCTAGAAGCAAAACTTATGAATACAATTTTGGTCCACATAGTCACATTTACTTAAAAAATGAATTTCATTTTTGAAGATTCATAAATCATGAGGACATGAACTACAATGCTTCAAGTCGGCATTCATGATAAATATGCCGGTGTGAAGTGTGGTAGTTCATGTACCTCATGAATCTTCAAAAATTAAATTCATTTCTTATAAATACATTATTTTCTAATGAGTAGTGTTGTAAAATTGGACAAATTTTACTATCGATTATCAAATTGAATCGGAAGAACACAATCGATTATATAATCGATAATTTGAACTATCAAAAAGGGTTAAATTTATTCATCCTGAGAAGTATTTTAAATAGTCATAAATAAAAACAATGTTAAACTCAATAAACTGATTCATTCATTTATTGAATACACATTTTCTGACTTGCATACATAACTCCGTAGTACTTATAGGAAGCGCCTTTCCAACAATGAATTTTAGGGTAAGATTATTGAGGGTTTTAATTTTTTCTGAGCTGAGTTTTCCTAGTTAGAATAATCTAATTGCGTCTCGGGAAACTGTAGGACATTTATCATTTTAACGATAGAACTTTCTATCTGTTTTCCTTGTTTAGTTATTAGCCAGTGTAGGTTGTACCATTGTTTTAACTGTAGTCTGGTCCGATTTATAGAAAAAAATACTTCTAACGGCAAATAATTATTATTTGGTCCAGCATAGTGTTTAAACCTAATTCGAGTATGCTAAATCCGAAAAAATATGCTGGCCTTCTTGAAAATGGTGTTAAAGAGGTCAAAATGGTGATTCAAAATTTTTCTTATTTTCTCTCAATATCGTTTAAAAAGGAAAAATAATGTGTGAATATCTTACTGACTGTAATACAAGTATAAAAATGATAATATGTGCTAACATTATTAGTTTAACTCAGAAATTTAGTCGTTTTTACACTTCATTCGAATTTTCTCTGATTTATTTGTCTATTGTTTTTTTATTCTTCTTTTGTTCAGGATTTTACATATGCAAACATCCATACACTGCAAATTTGTATTTATTCCTCTACATCTCACTAAATCTACAATTGAATGATGGTGCAGCTGCAAGTTAAAAGTCAAAATGGCAATTCAAAATGGCGGACATTCCTTTTTTTCAAATTATTTCTTAATATCGTTTACATAGGAGAAAGGATTTGTGAATATCTTATTGAGCGAAGTACAACTATGTAAAATTCCAATAGAACACTAATATGATCTCTTTTTATCGGAAAATTTAGTCGTTTAAATTTAAAATGTGTTATTTAGCTCAAAATGGCAATTCAAATGACGTTTTTACACTCGATTTCGTAAAATACTCAAACTGCTTAATTATGAATCTTTTTGCAGAAATAAATTAGTTTGTTTTTTACATATATAGTATATTGATTATTCCATTAAATATGAACAACCAAAAAATACTAGAAAAGATTCATTTCTTTCTGGAAATAGTTAAAACAAACTCGACTTAATAAGAGTTTCCAAATTTTCCTCCTCGTACTTGACCGTGTTCCAAAGCCTTTGAGCCCCCGTCCACCTAAAATTATTCCTGAATCCTGTCTTTATCAACTCGCATTTCTACCTCAACATCCCTCATCACACCATCAAATATAACTGAAGAAATTCTTGTCCGATTTCATCGAATACTTTGTTCTAGCTTTTTAGCACTTATATGAACTTAGTATTATCCCCTTACATATTCTATTCCAGCTTTATTTGCTATGTGTTTCAGTCTGTCTTCGGAATTTTGGTATTTTCAACACTCAGGTAAAATGGTGCCCCGTGTCAAGGGTGACAACCCTCTTGGCACGTAAAAGATCTTTTCTCTGGAGTTCGAAAAAGAGTAAGCTCACTGGGGGCCTCCAGAGAAACCAAAAACTTTCAGAAACCGATTTATACTAATGGTCCGCCGAAACATGGCAGACAAATTGCCTACTCAACGTTAAACAATATTCAATCAATCAATCAATCAACACTAAAGGAACAACAAATTTATGTTCAAATGTTAAAAGTCTATTTTTTTTCTGGTACTGTGAGCAATTAGCTCACTAAATGATACCACCGTCTCCCATATGAATATAATAATGACAGTGTCCATGTTTTGCTATGTGAAACCCAAAATATGTGTTGGATCAAAAAGTAAAATAGGAGGTGCACAATGGCAATATGTAATAAAGATTCTGTGAAAATTTATCAAATTTCATTCAGTGGTATGAGAGGAGTTGCGGATAAGAGATGGGCAACCCAAAGAGTAAAAGACGGACAGACGGACATACCGATTACTCTATAACCTCCCGCTTTTCAAGCTGGGGGGGGGGGGGGTATAAAAAAAATCTCTGATATTCAAGACATGTAGCTCTTTATTTCGTAACCGCGCATAGATTTGTTGTCTTTTAGGGTAGAAAGGTCATTCTATTAGCAAGAAAATTCTCAAACGTTATTATCTGGAATCACATTTGTGCATATTTTGGTGAGAAAAGTTGTATAATTATGCAATTTAAGTAAGCCTGCAGATTCCTCGTGATTTCTATCACTTACAAGCTTTCGTACCAAAAGGCCCAAGCCATTCTTGACTTCGATCTAATGAACACTTCTCTTGACAACAAAATTTTCTTGAACACTCCAAGAACTTTACAAGGCAACTTGATCCACTTCTTTGTTAGGATAGTGTAAGGTTGTATCAAGAATCGAGGAGGGACTGAACACATTTTCTTCTTTCAGATTTTGTAAATTTCAAAATTTTTGAATTTATATACACTGTTCAATACAAAATTGGTGGAGGAGGACCGATCACAACAGGAAATATTTGAGAATGCAGTTGAATTTTTGACTGAGAATAACAAAATGCAAATGTAGGGACAAAGACTCAGAGCTGGACAATCAAGAAAATTTATGTTTTACGTATATTATACTGATAATTCTTAATAAATATGTTTATGTTTGGATATTATAATATATTCAGATTTATATGATGTAACAATTACTAGTGGTCGTGGTCAATTATTTTAAAAATCATACGAAGTTATGTAGTACTAGACCTTCCACATGAACATAAACATTTTTTTTGCTTCACTGGACTAAAATTAGATCAAGAATAAATTTCCAACAACTGATATGATTTAGCAACCCTCGAACTACAATGTTCACTCGCCTTGATGCTCGGGGAATACTGCTCTTGTGGTAGTTAAATTTTCATATTGTCCTCAAAACAGCAATGATTGTACAATGTATGATATTATTAACTATTCATATCAAGAAGCATGATAAGACGGGTAATAGGTAAAACGTTTTCGGAATTGTCGTCAAAAATTTATCTTAATAATAGAAGTAATTAAACAAAAATCCGTGTTATAAAAATCCTAAGTCATTAATAAAAATATCCTTCAACTTTCATTATATGTTTGAACATTATTTCATGAATAAAGAAAAACCTGTAATTTATTTTCTGCAAAACAAATCAGAATTAAGCAGTTTGGGTATTTTACGAAATCGAGTGTATAAAACATCATTTGAATTGCCATTTTGAGCTAAATAACACATTTTAAATTTAAACGACTAAATTTTCCGATTTAAAGTGATCATATTAGTGTTCTATTGGAATTTTACATACTTGTACTTCGCTCAATAAGATATTCACAAATCCTTTCTCCAATGAAAACGATTAATAAATAATTTGAAGAAAAAGATGAATAATTTAGGGCTGTCACGGTTCCAAAATTTTTCGGGTCGGGTCGGTTCTGATTTTTTTAGGTTCGGTTTCGGGTTTCTCGGGTCGGGTAGGTAATGGAAGAAAAGCTCATGATTTGTATTATTTCCAACAATAAAAAGAATATTTTCATTTAATTTTAGAAATTGCAGCATTATAACTAGTTTAAAGTAGCCTCCTGACTAGACAACAATTGTACCAAATTATTTAAATCACCTTTCAGGGTTTCAGATTGAAATAAGTAACTACAGGACATCTGGCATATTTACCAGAAAAGTTATAGGCTATTCTGTCCTAAACTTCCTAAAATTATAGGCCAATAAAAAAAGTTAAATTAACTCAGATTTCTGTAAGACTTTTACAAAATAGTCATTTAATTACATAAAATATACAAATATGTATATTAATTTTTCTTTTAATAAGGTGGAAATATTATTTTGTTTCTTTTAAACAAAATTAATATATTGAAACAGAATGGGAATTGTCATTACATGTATATCTATTTATTTCTTGGGATTACAATTTTTAAAAATACAAATCCAAAAATTAAACTTGTATCTCTGATGATATTCAATGTATTATTACGTTTAAAGATCACCTAGACTAATTTTTTTTCCCTTAGTTAGTAAAACCTTGCAACATTGTCCGTTTCCTGCTATTAGTCCAACCCCATATTCAATCATGGCGGTAAAAATAACAACATGGCATGGATTCCTTCGATGTTTTAAACATTCATCACTACTTTTATGCTCCTTGCAGTTGGGTTTGGAAATAAAATTATAGAGTATTTTGTCAAGATCTATTTATACCCAAATGTCATTGGCTGATTGAATCGGCAGTTGCAGAAAGTAGAGAAAAACAATCGGATCTGAATGGAGGAAAAATTATACGACTGGCCTTTACATACAGAAGGTAATCGGCCATTCTGTCTGTTCAATGTCAAACTTATAGGCCAACATGGCAGGTAAATTTATTTTTTTTCCTGCCATTTTGAAATTTTATTGGCAAATGGCCGACACCAATCTTAAACCCTGCCTTTTAATGACAATGTACTGACAAATCCCTCGTTTTTGACGCCATTTTTTATAGTAAAATCTACTCTATTATACAAATCGGAACCGAACCGAATTCCGGAAAAACGGAACCGTACCCGACCCGAATTAATTGTTCCGCGGTTCCGGGTCATTTCGGGTACCCGTGACAGCCCTAATGAATATCCGCCATTTTGAATCGCCATTTTGACTTTTAACTTGCAGCTGCACCATCATTCAATTGTAGATTAGCGAGATGTAGAGTATGGATGTTTGCAAATGTAAAATCCTGAACAAAGAAGAATAAAGAAACAATAGACAAATAAATCAGAGAAAATTCGAATCAAGTGTAAAAAACGACTAAATTTTCTGAGTTAAACTAATAATGTTAGCATTCTATTAGGGCTGGGTATTGGCCAAAGATTTCGTATTGCGCTATATTGCGATATTTTTAACTGTATTGCGATATGTATTGTAATATTTTAAACATTATAAAAATGTCATTTTCTTATAATATCAACATTAATTTACATGCAAAATGTACATAACTATAATCAGTAAGCAAAAAGAAAAAAATATTGTTGATTTTATTAGATTTCTGCTTTGAAATACACCCATAAAACAGCATCTGTTTTACTGTTTGACTTAATAACAACCTGTCAAACATTTATTTTTATATTTAATGATAAAATTCCTTAGTCTAAGCATTTTGCCAATATATCGATATTACAAAAACGTATTGCAATACGATATTTTTTGTCATTGTATTGCAATATACCGAAATATCGATATTTTTGCCCAGCCCTACATTCTATTATCATTTTTATACTTGTATTACACTCAGTAAAATATTCACACATTATTTTTCCTTTTTTTAACGATATTGAGAGAAAATTAGAAAAATTGGATGTCCGCCATTTTGATCTCTTTAACACCATTTTCATGAAGGCCAGCATATTTTTTCGGATTCAGCATACTCGATTTAGGTTAAAAAACTATGCTGGACCAAATAATAATTATTTGCCGTTAGAAGTTATTTCTAGCCTTCTTTTTAAAAATCGGGACCAGACTACTGGATGTTTTGTGGTAGGCTTGTCCATTTTCATGCTGGTGATGATGTTTTTCGATATGAAATTGGAGATTCGTTGTATTTCCTAAACAAATTAAAACTAAACCTATGAATTTGAATGTTCGTTAAAATTTTGACAGCACGAGTAGAATTCCATGACATGTGAACTTCAACTTATCTTTATTGGCATACGACTTTTTAGACAATTTACAAATAACCGTGTCCATCTGTAAATTATTTTTGCATGGAGGCCCATCGCCCTTTTTCTGAAAGCCAAAAAAACTCGAAACTTTACATCGTGTTGCACCAGGATATGGATATAATTCGGCGTCAACCTCTTCACCATGCACATTCGCCATTTTGTTTACCGCCGATTAGAGTGACGGCCCTTTGGTGAATATAAAGTTAAACCTGCTCAGCTTGAAAAATACGGCTTGAAAAATATAGCGATCTATCGATGATAATATTTACAATCGATTGTCGCCGATTTGGGCCTTTAAACGACAATTTTTCGATAGTCACCGACTATCGTAACAACACTACTAATGAGTTACCACAAATCATGCCATTGAACTGTCATTTTTAAAGCAAACTAAACAGTTTGCATTTAAGTTTTGACATCAAGTATGGTACTATGACGTAACAGTGGAGATAATCATGCTCATCCCTGGTAGTTCAAGAGAAAATGAACAAATTTATAATTTGTAAGGAATGTTTAAGTCAAATAAAAGGAAATGTACATATTTGGGAATGGATTTGCCTTTAAATTTAAACTAATCAGTCAACCAGAAAGATCAGATCAGACCCAACATACAAAAAGACCTACTGAATGATTGATGAAATGAGAGACATTGCCATAGTAGCCAGCATCCACAGTGAAGGGACAATCTCCTGGGTTGTAATCCAGATCAAAGAGGTAGGTCCTACCCACAGCATCATACTGCTTACCTCGGCGCTCAGCTTCCTTGTCAGTGATTACCTGAAAAATACACGAGACTTTTCAATGGCTCATCGAACAGTATCTGGTCACATCTAACAGCAGTGATGCTTTTATGCGAACTTGGATCTTTAACACTTCTGAAGGAATTAATAAGTTGATCAAAAATTTTGTCATATGCTATAACATTACATTTTAATATTAACATATAATGTTCACATCTGAAAACTCTTAGATGAAAATTTGTTTCATCTAATTAAATTCTAAACATTTATTGACAATAAAATTTTACAATGAAAACTTGTTGAAAACCATCCAAGATGACTTTAAAATCTTACTTCTCCGACATATTCTATGACAAAGGACCCCTCCTTTATTTTCTGCAGTGTCTTGACGCCCCAACCTCTGCCATTGGCTGTACGGAACAGGCACACTTTGAACTTCCTTCCTTTCTGTACCACTCTGTTTGGACATTCCGATCCACATTTACATCTCTTATTACATTCATATATAGGCGTCCCTCGCATGACTCGTAGTCTTTTCTTCTTATAATATGCAAACATTGAACCACATTGTGAGGGGCAGCATGTTTTTTGACTGCTATGACAGTCCTCACATTCACACCCTACAATTGGGTCATCAGGAATAGTGATCCCCTCGCCTGAACGGTAGTCGTTTATATACACAAAGTTTTCGGGGGGCCCCTCTAGGTCTACTAGATTTTCTACTACGATCCCGGCAGGGTCCGTATTGATTCCATTCAAATGTCTTTCCCAGTCTTTCAAGGCTCTCTGAACCTCGATTCTCTTCTGTTTGTAGAATTTGGACCTTGGATTCAGCTGCTTCATTCCTGGCGCCGCTGCTCTGCGTGGTATAAATCTAGACTCTCCATAATTCCCATTTATTCCTCTGTATACTGGCCTCTTTCCTTTCTTGGTGGGACTAGATAATGACATGAGCCCTATTGGGGACAAAGTGTCCCTGACCGGTGCTAGCTTGTGGAAGATTTCATCTACTCGGTTACGCTTAGGATTGGGTGCAAGATCGTCCTCTGAATCCACGATTCTACGTTTTCTTCCTTTGGCCTGGAATTCTTTAAACTCCACCAGTAAGTCTTCACATGACAAATTGTCTTTGGGTTCCCAGGAATTATATGCATTGCTCCAACCTTTCCATTTTATGAGGTAGAAATCTTTGCCCTGCAGGAAGAAAACAGTTTTCAATGAATCAACAAGACTTTTATATAATAATAATAATACTGTAAATCACTTTTTATTCGCGAGAACTTTATTTTTGCGCAATTACGCGAGGCGGTATGCTCACGAAAATTTCATTCTCGCATATAATAGAATTCCTTAAGAGTATATAAAGCAATGACCACAACTCGTGAAAATTTTGTTTCGCTAATAAAGAGTCAATGACTATCTCGAAAATTAAGTGATCTACAGTAATAAAAAAAAGACTGATTGATTGATTGCATGTTGTTTAACATCCCTCTTGAGAATTTTTCACTCATATGGAGACGCCACCACTTGCTGGTGGAGAGCTACAAATTTTGTCCTATACTCGGCTCTCTGGGCCATTGAGCAGCATTGTTTTCATTTATTTCAAAATAAAGGGTAAGAGATCATTTGCAGTAGGCTAGGGGCTGAGGTTTATGAACAAAATCTCTGTGGACCTTAGGGCTGGGACGATACAACTTTTTCTATATCGATACATATCACGATACTTGAGCCACGATACGATATGTATCACGATATATTTAATTGCTCGTAAAATCTTTTTTTGGCATTGAAATAAACAAATTATTTCTTTGCAAATGAGAATAATTTATTCAGAAAAGTTGTTTATATGTTGTAAAACAAAAATATTTTACTCAAGTGGTGTTCATTATGATTTACTTCATATCTATATTTATAATTAACTTATTTATTTTTTATATACTAAACCCCAAATGTTAAATAAACAAAGAAAAACAGAAGTCAGATTTTTTGGGGCGATATTTTGATATTTTTTCAAATGTATCGATATGTGTATCATCCTCACATATATCACGATATATTGATATCTCGATATATCGTCCCAGCCCTAGTGGACCTTACAACAAATTTTTACTTCAAAGCAGCACTTTTGTCAATTGAAGCGGTCAATTTGGCCAGTAGCCAGTTCTTAGGGAAACACTGAGCATTGAGGGATCTTTTTCGTGCTAGCACCTACTGTGACACGGGACCCCGATATATACGGTCTCATTCAAAAGAGCGGTCTCCACATCCCATAGTGAGATTCCAACCTGCAATGTAAGGATCGACTCCTTACTTTGCGACTCTAGAGCAGACGCTCTAACCACTGTGCCACACACGCTATGAAACATATCAAAACAGTTGCGATTTATGAAATAATCATAAATATTTTCAAATTTAAATGTTTCTGATGAGGCTGCAGCTCTACTGCTCTGTGCTAATGACATTAAGGAAAAACAAAGTAAACAAAATAAAACCAAGTTTCGAGATAGGAGAAGCAGAGAAATATGACTGATCATCATTTCATATTTTAAGTCAACTCGTCAGTGGTGAAATAAACTTCAACCTTACCTCTTCTTCCACATGATCCAGGATTCTCTCCACTTCCCAGTTATCATCATCATCCCATTTTATTTCTCCTTTTTCTACCACTGAATAAAGACATACATAGCAATTCAAGAAAACTATCACTCATATGTATTGCATACATATACTATATGTTGAAAAAGAATCAAAAGCCTGAAAGTCTTTAATGGCACTAAACATATTCGAACATCTACTTTTTTGCATGAGTCCGTTCCCCATGATTCTTATTCGCCATGTGTTCCATTTGTCATATATCCCAATCGCCCTATCGTAAATATTTTATGTCAACATTATCTTTGGATTTTAAGCCATTTCTTTCTTTTTTTAAAATTTTATTTACTGTAAACCAACTTTTATTCGCAATGACTTTAATTCGCAATTTACTAGGGTTAAACTACTTCGTGGCAATTAATTTTCGTGATCTAGCCTTGTTTGATATGGTTTTAATAGACACAGAGACTTTAAGGACTGCCTTGCAGGGAGAAATATTCGCGATGACAAGGCTCTCACGAACTTCACAAAAATTTCTCGCACCCGAATAAAAGTTGGTTTACAGTATTAGAACACTATTAATGAACTTTGTTTTACGTGTACAATATTTGATTGTAAATTGATTTTTTAACAACTTACTGAAGATTTGAATTAGCGCTTCCTGAGTGTGCTTTAAACGTCATTGAATATATGTAAAAAAGACATGTATCGATGTACATGACAAAGCAGGAGATGCTTTCAGCGAAAGGATCTAAATAGAATACACAGCCAAATGTAATATGTTTACAGTATATAATAATTAAATGTTCTTTCCATTAGTACTTAATGACTTTATTTCTGATTTTAATAGTAATTAAAGACTTAATTGGTTTAATTGCTGCCAATTTAGTAATTACTGTAAGGGAACACTTTCTTTGTTAGTTTTTTCAAGTTCATATTAGCATATATTTTAGAAAATAATTAAGGAAGTTGAAATTGGGCTTCTAATAATGTTCGCAGGCCATGCAACCTCCGACAAGGTTACTTTTTTAGGAATCTTTTATTTTTAATTTTTTTAACACTGCTGAACATTACTTATGAATTAAAATTAATGGAAATCACATCAATTACTTTAGTTTTTCAAAAAATTTCTTTAACGTTAAAGAATAATAAATTTTGATTTAAACAAAAATTCATAAAATTCTTTAAAATCAAAGGAACTTGTGAAAATTAACCGACTAACATATTATGAGGGAACACGTTTTAAAGTGAACAGATTCTGGGCGAATGAGAAAAAGATCTAACGGCATCAAGGGATAATGCGTTTTAGGGCGAACAAACATACAAACATTTAAATGCGCATCGCAAGTATTGAAAATCAATTCCTGTTGGAGACGGCAAAATTCCCCATTTTAATAATTGATTATGTTACTAGTTCAGACGATTTTACGGCACCTAAATATATCAAGTCATGAAGCCTGGAAAATGTCAGATATTTATGACTAGCCCAGTGAATAATTTTATTATATATATTTTATTTTTAACCTGTCTTACCGACACTCACACTGTAAACAGATGTATCGGACTAACACCGTCACACATCAATTTGACCAAACCAAATGGTTTTTGATTGCACGTGTCAATGTCATAACTCATAATAAAATCAGCATGCAGGAATATAACTCTTCCTTATCATGTTTGTTTCCTTATGCAAATGAAAGTGTGTGTTTAAAGAAAACTTACATTTACTGACAAGCTTTTGTGCAACAAATGGCCCCACTTTCTTCAGTGTGAGATACAGCAAATATCGATTGGTGTCTGGAGAAAACTTCAGCTCCTGTTTTTGACAGGTTCTCTGTAGATCTAAAATATCTGATAAGCATGGTACGCGAGATTCAAATATTTCAATAATACCCATTTTTTCAATTACCAATTTTGCTATATTCTAAGCATCAGATACTTTTAACCAGAACATCATGTCAACATTCTCAGCAAATTGTGCGAAAAATGGCGCGCATTTGAAATATCATTTCCATATCCGGTTAGCTTTCTGATTGGTCAATAATGGTCGTACTATTTACGTGGATAACAAGTTTTCCACTTTTCTTAAATTTATAGGTTATTTACAGGTACTTGGTTATGCATATTGATGAATGTTTTCATATCAGAACACCGAGTGTGGTTTTTATGTTACAGAGTTTTTTAAAAGAAAAACGAAAAAGTTTCATAACTACTCAAGTGACACAAAATACAATTCGACTCACAGACTTTTCGGTCCGTAAATCTTATGGTGCACAAACAATATTTCGAGTTAAGGAGTTAAGTGTGCTTATTACGGTTGCTGGTGAAGAACATGGTATGATATTTTTTTACTAATTCATGCAATTATTGCCACGAAATAAAATTCTTGGCCTGAAATAAACTACTTTTGTTACATTAAAAGTTTATATATAAAGTTTTAAACTAAAAAGAAAATTAAAAACTTATCTAGAGATAAGTTTTAACTTGAGGTTTAAACTTATAAGATTTAAACTTTTAATGTAACACTTTTAATCTGTATTTTATATACAAATACAAATACTTTATTGGCACAAACACAATTACAATAATTGGCAAAGGCCCACTGAACATCATTAAATGTTTACATATTTTTCAAAAATTGTCAAGTAATTGACTTCTAAGTTCAAAACAGTCTCTGATAAATTTAACAGTAACTTTCAAGACTTTTTGTATATTACTGTTTACATATAATTGTAACATATATTTCTCATTGCTAAAATTATTATTTTTCTTTGTTATGTTATAAATGTTACTAAAGAATGTGTTTCTTAGCTTAGAGTAAGAATTACATTGAAAAAGAAAATGCATTTCATCCTTAATCACACCAGTATTACAAACATTACAATATCTTTCATTTCTTGATGTGGAAATATATCTACCGGCCACTTTCTATTGCAAGTTTATGTGCGCTTAGTCTAATTCTACTAAGAGAGGATCTCTCAGATCTTTTTTTGAGTAAATCAACATAAGGACTTCTTTTTCCTGAGTATACTTTCTTGAAGAAATCAAGTTTTTCTGAACCAAAGATTTTTGACGTTTGCTCCTGAGTGCACTGATCAATGATTCTTTGTTTAATGTTTGGTAAAAGGTGTTGGATGGATCCTGTATATTTTGTAATGTTTGAGAATCCAAGATTATCTAGAATAGAAAATAATTTCTTAGTCCAAGAATTACAGTTACTTGTGGATTGGTAAAGTTTAAAGGCCAAAGAATCAGAAGTTTTCAGGTGATTCCAATATTTGATACTAGAGAGGGAAATTTTGGACCAAAGTGGTAGTCTTTTAAGTTCCGCTAAACAACCAGCATTGATGTTTTGCAGTGCACTCCAAGGATGTCTTTAATAAATTTTAAGTGAAAATTTTCAATATTTGAAATATCTTTGGATGAGAGATCCACTCCCCATATTTCACTACAATAGAGAAGAACTGGAAGTGCAATAGCATCAAAGAGTTTTTCTAAAAGTTTACATGGGTTATCAAATCCAATAATTCTTTTCATTTTAAAACATGCTTTTCTAGCCTTTTCAATAAGCACAGCTGTTGCTAAATTAAACTTCCTATTACATTTCATCATAATACCTAAATAACAGTATCTTGGTACAATTTGTATTGCATTACCATTAAAACTAAATTCATTTCCTTGAGGCTTGCCATTTGAGTTAAATATCATTACTTTAGATTTATCTACATTAACTTGAAGTTTCCAGTTTGAGCAATAGTTACTGAGAATATCAAGACTGGTTTGTAAACCGCTTTTGCTTTCTGAGAAGATTACAATATCATCAGCATGTAACAGGCAATTTACATGAATATTGTTTACTTGCACAGGATCACATTTTCCATTTTTTAAGTCATGGACAATACCATCAATAAAAACATTAAAAAGTGTGGGGCTTAAGACATCCCCTTGTTTGACACCACATTCAGAATTGAATACATCACTTAATCCATCAGAAAATTTGATTCTACTCATTGTATTACTATACATGGAAAATAAAATATTGAACATTTTTTGGGAAATATTACATTCAAGAAGTTTATAGAATAAACCTAATCTCCATACAGTGTCAAATGCCTTTCTAAGATCAATAAAAGCAGCATAGACCTTTTTGTTTTTGTAGTGATCAATTATTGTTTTTATTGAGAACAAATGGTCTGATGTTCTACAGTTTTCCTTGAAACGAATTTGATTTTCACTTATCAGTGATGTAGAGTTTACAAATTCAAGTAGCCTAGTATGGATTATTCTGTTGAAAAGTTTTCCTAGATTTGAAGTAATTGATATACCTCGGTAGTTGTTAGGATCAAGCCTATTACCCGACTTATACAGTAATTCTAAATAGCTCTCATTCCAACTTTTTGGGAATACCCCAGAATTAAGTATAAAGTTAAATAATTTTTCAAGAGGTTTCAGCATTACAGATCCCCCACATTTTAACATTTCATTTGAAATCATATCCATGGAAGAACTCTTTCCATTTTTCAGGGATTTAAGGGCACTTCTTATTTCAGTGATAGTAATATCTAGTTCAAGGAAATGGTTATGATGTAGTTTTTCTTTCAAGACATGAAATTTATCTATTATACTTTTATGAAAATTATTGTGATTGTTGTCAGCTTTGTTGAGTTTTTTAAAAAAACTGATAAAATTCCTCAGGGTGAACATCATGAGATGAAATTTGTCCAGTATATATATAAATACGAGCCTGTGCTCACAATACCTCTAATTTAAATTGTATTAATATTAGCTAGTGGACTGGGATTTAATTCTACCAGTGGTTAACTTATATATCCAACTTACACATGTGTGTTATATTCATGTAGCTCCATTTCTAGTGAAGAAATTCTTCAAAATCAGTCAGTTTTGATTATTTTTGATATTTTCAAAAGCCGAAATTAATATCTACTGTTGAATTCCAAAACTTCATTTAAAAAACCGCGGCATGAAACTGACAAAAATACAACTGAAACAGGTTACAGTGTGTATGTTCTACCACTGAAGGCCATTTCTTTATACTCCACACTAAAATATTCACAACAGTGAAGGGGAATCCTAGGAGCTCTGTATAACAATAATAAATTATGTTTTCTAGAAGTGGTGTAAATCAGATGTGGATACTTTAAAATTCCAAGGAACATAAAAATTATATTTGAAATAAAAAAAAATTAACCAAAATCAATAAATCAAAAAGTACGACTTTTCAGCACTTTACTCAGCGACAATTTAAAGTCCATGCTTTATGATATTTGACAGCTGCTTTTTCAATAAAAATAGAACTTGTTAATTTTTTTTACACCATAAATTTACTTATACCTTGTCATTGGTCATTTGTGAAATTATTTGTGAAAAAAATTCCGATTGTACACACAAGTATTCTCAAGTTGATATTAAAAAGTTAAGATGGTTGGGTTTCTGATTGACAATATCTTTGTGTTTTTGGAGAACGTACGGGTCTTCAAAGAATCTGTTGGAATTCCAATGTGAATCAATTGCGCCCCGTCATTAGCGGACCTATTTTTGTATTCATATACAAGATACAAGATTTTATTAATCCAATTTGGACCCCCGGAGTAGGAAAAAGATTTACAAACAAAAGAAGGAGGTTCCAATTGATAGAACAAACACGGTCTTAAATATAATGAGAGCAATTGATAAAAATGTTCTAGTATATAAGAGATATACTGAAAATACATACATGTATCGTAGTGTATGTTATATATATATATATATAAAATATATATAGTCAAGGGCAAGAAACTGGGATAAAAACTCAAAAAAGTATATATTATATTATATAGTATATATATTATAGTATATAATATATATATTATATTATATAAATATATATTATATTATCAAAATATCTTCAATTAAGGTAGGTTACCAAGGAATCTAGCAAGTGATCTAAGGATGTCAGGGTCTTCATTAGTCATGAGCCAATAAAACTGATTATCATATAAACAGCTAGACCTATATAAATGAAGCATAATTTATTCAAAATTTTGTACGCCAGAAAAGGAAAACACATGCTGTGACATTATTTCAACTCGATCGACATTTTTAGATATCGACGATGTAGCTGCAGATCTGTAGCGTTATGGTTTTATATACTGAAGTATTTGTCTTTGACCATATAACGCTACAGATCCCGTAGTGCAGAAAAGGTGCAATTTACAGCGCAATATTTTTTGGGCACTTTGAAGGAGAGTTTCTAGCAATTTTGTCAATCCACTACCTTTCATTCAAGGCCGTAACTAGGCCAAAAATTTAAGTGAGGCAAGGGTGCTGGGCATTCCTAGTCCCAGAGGGGCAAGGGTAGTACGTGATGGCTAGTGATGGGGGTTTCCTCCATGGGGAGGGGATTCTGAAAGCTTGGTGTTAGAAAATAAAAGATTTGGTCTTAGAAAGTTTCCACGTTTTGAATTGTATGCTCTTAAGTCTCGAAGTAAGTTGTCAATCCTTCACGTCGCGGGTTTGAATCCCACTGCAGGATATAGAGACCGGTCCTTCAGATGAGACTGTAAAAACTGAGGTCCTATATCACAGTAAGTAATGCTACACAAAAAGAAATCTCGCTGTTCAATTATCTTCCGTGACCCCGAAAGTTCAGTATAGATTTAAAACTTGCAGCCCCCACTGACAAGTACTGCTGTCTCAATATGAATAAGAAATTTTATGAAGGGATGTAAAACAATCAAACAATTTATAACACAAACAATTGGGATTATATTTTGCATGCGTTCTTAACGATTATGGGGCACCTAGTGAGATGAAAATTGACAGAAATTGAAACAAAAATTGAAATATTAATTTAGCACGAAGACCCTCATAATTCATAAATTCATCGTAAAACAATTTCACTTTTGGAAAAACTCTAAAAATTTAGTGAGGCATTTGCCTCACTTGCCTCAATGGTAGTTACGGCCT